ACCATATTCCTAGATCAGATGTCCCTTTTATGTATTTAATGATTCTTTTGACCGCTTTTAAATGTTGCTCGGTTGGATTTGCTTGGTATCTTGCACAAATTCCTACTGCAAAGCTTAGATCTGGTCTACTAGCGGTTAGATACAGTAACCCTCATATCATGCTTCGATACAGGGTTTGTTCAACCGGTTTTCCCTCTGTATCCCTTGATATTCTCTCTGTTGTTGGAACAGGTGTTCTGACAACTTTGCTTTCTTCTAGACCGAATCTCTTGACTAAATTTTTGGCATATTTGCTTTGAGAATTGTCTAGTTGTCTGATTTGCAGACCAAGAAAGTAGGTTAATTCCCCAACCATGCTCATCTCAAATTCTCCTTCCATGTTGATGATGAATTGGTCTTTGTGGTCCTCGAGTGTTGAGCCAAATACTATGTCATCAACATAGATTTGGGCAATGACTATGTTTTGACCAAGTTGTTTGACGAATAGGGTTTTGTCCACGCTGCCTCTTGTGTAACCCTTTTTGACTAGGAAATCAGTGAGGCGTTCGTACCAAGCCCGTGGTGCTTGTTTTAGACCGTATAGTGCTTTGTTGAGTTTAAAAACACTTTGTGGAAAATGGGGGTCTTCAAATCCTTTTGGTTGGGCAACATAAACCTCTTCTTTTAGATATCCATTCAGAAATGCAGTTTTCACATCCATTTGGTAGAGTTTTATTTTGAGTATGCAAGCTACTGCTATGAGTAGCCGAATTGATTCAATTCTGGCTACTGGGGCGAATGTTTCCTCGAAGTCTGTTTCTTCTACTTGAGTGTATCCTTGAGCTACTAGTCGGGCTTTGTTACGTATGATGTTTCCTTGTTCATCTGTTTTATTTTTGTAAATCCATTTTGTCCCTATGATATTAGCATGTTCCGGTTTGGGGACTAGCTCCCAGACATTGTGTCTGTTGAATTGCTGTAATGCTTCTTGCATGGCTTCTACCCAAAATTCATCTTTTAGGGCTTCCGTGATGTTTTTGGGTTCAATTTTTGAGGTGTAGCAATAGTCATAGTCTCCTTCTTCCATTTTTTGAAAGTCTCGTTTCTTTCCTCTGGTCCTGATTCCTTCATTTAGTTCTCCTATGATGTTCTCTATTGGATGATTGTTCTGTACCCTGGTTTCATCAGTGGTATGGATTTCTTCTTTTTCTTCAAGGTCTAGAGCTTCTTCTTTTTCTAATGTTTCTGGCTCTGATTTCTGATTGTGTGATGTTGGAACGGCTGTTTCAACACCACACCAGTTATCTCTTCATCATCTTTGGGAAAATCTTCTGTTGTGTCATTGACCACAACATTGATGGACTCCATGACAGTGTTTGTCCTAAAGTTATATACTCGGTATGCCCGGCTGTTTGAGGAGTATCCTAGAAAGATCCCTTCATCTCCTTTGATATCAAATTTTCTCAATGGTTCTCTATCTTTTAGAATATAGCATTTGCTTCCAAACACATGTGTGTGTTTTAAATTTGGTGTTCTTCCTTTTCCAGATTTGATATGGTGTCATGTTGATTTCTTTTCGAATGAATACTCGGTTTATCAGGTAGCATGCTGTGTTAACTGCTTCTGCCCAGAATTTTGATGGAAGCCTTTTGTGATTTAAGAGGACTCTTGCCATTTCTTGGATGGTTCGATTCTTTCGTTCAACTACCCCATTTTGTTGGGGTGTTTTTGGTGCGGAGAACTCATGATGAATTCCATTTTCTGTACAGTATTCTTTGAATTTTGAATTCTCGAACTCTCTTCCATGATCACTTCTTAGACGAATAATTTTTCCTATTCTTCCTTCTTTTTCATTCTGAATTTTGATGATGAGGGTTTTGAATGTTTCAAATGCTTCTGATTTTTCTCTAAGAAAGTTTACCCATGTGAATCTTGAGTAGTCATCAACTGTTACATAGACATATCTTTTTCCCCCTATGCTTTCTGTCTGAGTTGGTCCAAACAAGTCCATGTGAAGTACTTCTAAGATTCTAGAAGTGTATAATCCTGAGGTCTTCTTATGGGCTGTTCGGGTTATCTTGTTTTCAAGGCATGCATCACATTTTTTGCTATCATCTATGTCAAGTGTTGGAACTCCTCGATAGACTCCCTTCTTTAAACCCTTTTTCATGTCATGAAAGTTTATGTGGCCCATCCGTTGGTGCCATAGTTGTGTTTGATTGATAGTTGTCTGTAGGCAAGATAGATCACCGTCCCATGTGTAGCATTTATTTGTGGATTTTCTTCCGATCATAACACATTCATGATTATGATTGAGAACATTGCAACTATTTTTTGTGAATTCCACTTTAAGTTCATCTTCACATAGTTGACTTATACTAATCAGGTTTGCTTTTAACCCCTGTACTAGGAAGACTTTTGACAGTTTTGGTAGTCCATGTACATTCAGGATTCCATTTGCAACGATTTTCCCTTTTCCTCCATCTCCGAAGGTAACATATCCTTCATCTTTATAGTGTATGTTCTCTAAATTTTCTGGATTTCCAGTCATATGCCTGGAACATCCACTGTCAAAATACCATATATCTTGCTCCTTGTTTGTTTTGGAAGTGTATGCAACATTTTGGTCTTTTCTTACCCAGATTTTCTTGCTATTATTTCTGTTGTGTGGTGACCATACCCTGTTGTTTTGTATGTAGTAATAGTCGTTTTGTCTTTTGTAGCAATGTGCTTTGATGTGTCCTAGTTTGTGACAATAGTAGCACCTTATTCTTCTTCGATGTCGGAAGTGCTGTTGCGACACCTCCTGTATTTCAGGTTGGTTATTCTCACTGGTGTCCGTGCTTGGAGTCCCGGGTCTTTTGGTAAGCTCCTTAATTTCTTGTAGCAGTTTTGTTTCTCTGTTCTTGAGGTCTAGGAGTTCGTTCTGGGCTTCTTTGTACTGTTTTTCTATTCGCTCTTTTTCATTCTTTAAATAGTGATTATCTTCCATGAGTTCCAAGTTTTTCTTGATGATTTGCTCCCATTTGGCATTTAGTTGAGAGTATGCCTCTAGTAACTCTTGCATGTCATCACTATTGTTGTCTTCATGACTAGCAGTGAATGCTACGAAGTTCGTGTTGTTATCATCTTCTTCACTATCTGAGTCATCGCTCAGAGTTGTTATATATGTTTTATTTTTCCTTTTCAAGTATGTAGCACATTCTATTTGAATGTGTCCAAAGCCTTTGCATTCATAGCATTGTATTCCTTCAGTAATTGTATTATCTCTTCTCTTTGGATTGGATGGTTTTTGATTTGTAGAATTTACCGGGTTGTTTGAGAAGTTTTTATTTCTGGACTTGTTAAACTTCTTGAGAACTCGGTTAAAATTCTTTGTTAGTAGTGCAATTGACTGTTCCATGGTTTCTGAATCAGTTTCTGAGTTCTCTTCTTGTCTGGACTGTAATGCTATTCCTTTACCATTGTTTTTCTGACCTTGTAGCATCTCCAGTTCATAGGTTTGAAGATTTCCGATTAGGTCACTTAGTCTGTATATATTCAGATCTTTATGCTCTTGAATAGCGGTGACTTTCATTTGGAATCTTCCCGGTAGTGAGCGTAGAACCTTTTTGACGATCCTATGTTCGGGTATAGGTTCGCCTAAGTTGAATGCGTCTCCAGATATAATTAAGACTCTGCCACTGAATTGGGTGATGCTTTCTTCCTCCCCCATTTTCAGGTTTTCAAATTCAGTTTGTATCATCTGAAGCTTCGATTGTCTTACAGTTGTGTTTCCTTCATGATGATCGCACAATATACTCCACGCAATTTTGGCTATGCGTGTTGATGCAATTAGTTTAAAAGTGTCTTCGCTTACTGCCCCATATATTGCATTCATAGCTTTTGAGTTGAAGTCATATTCGGTTTTCTCTTCTTCGCTCCAATCAGTTCTAGGATTTGCATTCCCTTTATCATCAACTGGAGTTTTCCATTCGTTTTCTATTGCATTCCAGACGCCTTCTCCTTGTGCTAGAATGTATATCTGCATTCGAGCTTTCCAGTAGGAGAAGTTTGTGCCAAGTAGAGCTGGGGGTCTATTGTTTGAAAGACCTTCTCTTGGGAACTCCATTTGGATCCTGCTGGTAACTTCAGCAGACCAGCTCTGATACCAATTGAAATTAATATAGATGTTTGAATTCGGTAACGTTGAAACAGACGTAGTGACACAAATATTTATAACGCAGTTTCGGGCAAGCAGCCCTAATCTGCGAGGCACTTCTCAAATTGAGAATTTGCCTAAATCCACTAAAAGCTCAATATTTGAAGTACACTTGGTTTAGGGAACGGGGATTACACAATATGATTTCCTATCAAGCTATTGAGACCTAAACACTTGTACTACTTTTCAAGGGGATTTGGGTATCTCTCTCAATTACTCTCGTGCTCACGATTAGGTGCTGAAAGCGTAAGAAGAGGAATTGTGATGCATTTTCTTTTATAAGCCGAGAGTTATTGATTGAATGGGAATAGGGTTGCTAATCCTATTTAGATTAGGAATTGAATTCCTAATCCTTGTTTGACTTGATGATCCCCTTTTGTCTAGAATTTGACAAACTTGTCAACAGATATCATCTTACCCCCTTCTGTAGAAATCGTTGATAACACACAACATATAGCTTGGTTGACCGAACCAATTGTATTGGTCCAACAATTACCTACCATGGTGTTGGACTATTCATTCTCTAATTCAACTGTACTGTTTACTGTATACATGCATTCTCGATATCTTTAGATTTAAGTATATTTTGGAATTTTAGTTATTAACTTTTGAGCTTAATTGTGCTAAGAAATTAATTAAATGCAAATTAAAGGAAGACATGACATGCAGTAAGTAGTTTTGATTTATTTCATTTCGTGATGGATTCACCGTACCCCGTGCTGGGAGGAAGTACATATATAGTTATTTATTGATTATTGATTTATTCATTAATTATAACGCAGCTCAGCCCTGCTGTCTAGGCCACTAGAAAAACCTTTAATTTAGGCCTTTCTAAAGTTGATTTCAAGAGGGGTATCGCTAAGAACCAAACGCTTTTGTCCACCTTCCACCGAAATGCCAACATCACGGCAGTTGTATGAGCAGTAATAGCACACATCTGGACAAGACATGAGCTTGTAAGCATTTGTTGTTTTTACAATCTTGAACCAATTGTTTAGGGTTTGTGAACCAGGATTTCCTTTTTCTCCACCTGCTGTTATGTAATGAGAATCATCATACACCGAGAGATCGCCAACTATCGTCCAAACATTATTCTCTGGACATCCCATAGTGTATGCGTCCGGGAATTCAATGTTGAGGTCACTCCATTCACGAACCACACCTTTCTTCGGATCAACTGGGTAGAACTGCATCGTGTTTCCCCACCAGTAAGGATCATCTTGAACCACACTTTGTGGGCAACTCTGACTACCAGTGGAAGCTAGGTCCAACCCACCGCCTTGGTCCTGGAGAAGTGGTACAACGTAGTACTTGACACCAACCCGAACAATCTTTCCGTACATATCAAGTACCGGGCTTTGTGTGTTTTGTGAGGTTTTTATGTTGAGTGAGCTTTGTGTTTTATTTGGTTGAAGCACTCTTGCTTCGGAAAGGAAGATGGTCATGAGAAGGAGAGAAAGTAATAATAAGACGAATGGTGTCTTCATTGTCTTCTTATATTTGTGGAAATGTGTATGGTATTGGTGTGAGCTGATGAGGGAAGAGGCATATATGCATTATGGTATTTATAGGCAGTGAGAGCACATTGGTAGAGTTATTACAGAAAATGGAAATTAAGCTTTATTTTGTGAGTTTGAAATGGTTACGAATATAATATTAGGTGTTTGGCACTAACGGATTGATTTCATCATTAAACTGTTTTTGACTAAACAACGAAGTTAGATTATGAGTGGATTCACGACACCGGCTTAGTATTATATACTTCATATTAATTATTGATTAATATATATTTTTTTATATCTAAAAAGGAAGGGTGAACAAAATGTTACAAATCAGCTATACACACTTGACGCCATCTAGGTATATCTATCATCAATATCGTCAAACAAAATGTTCAGCATCTTATCTGGAAGGCTTTCCATCCCAGTACGTTGACCATCCATTAACACTACATGCAATACATCAAAGAAGTTGAACTAAGAGTGCAAGCTAATTAATTAATGTTTATACACTTAGGCCCTGTTTAGTAAAATGGCTGTTAGTTGATAACTGTTAGCTGTTTGATTGTAGAAAAGTGTTGGGTAAATTAGCTGTTGGCTGATAACTGTTTGGTATAATTTCTTTTCTCAAAAAGTGAATTGAAAAAATTACATGGAGTAGCTTTTTGAATTTTAGTATTTTAGAGTTGCAAAAAGCTAATTAACCAAACATTTATATTGATATTTTCACTAAATCAAACAATTAATAGTTGTCAAATAAATCAAAATTGGCCTATAAGCCAATTTTTTACCAAACAGAGCCTTACTAATCCATAACAAACATGCATGAAGTACATAATACTAGGTGTAAATCCACTAGCTAGTACGTAGCAATCTAATTATACAATCAAAACTATGTAATGGAAGTATTTTTTATTATTTCACATATAGTACATAACAATTTCAAAGTCACATGCAAAAGCTTTAATTTCATCTGTAATTTTTAATATTAATCATACCAATGTCTCTCATCTAATTAAATATAATATGATTATCGATGCATGTGAAATGATGAATGTCAAAAACCGTTGATGAAAACAATGAGATGGATGAGTGAGTTGGCGTCAAACACCGTACCTAAGCAACTGATCCGTAACAATATAAAATAATTTAATTTCAAACTCACAGGAACAATCCTACCAATGTGCAGTTAGTGCCCTCACTCACCTATATATATATATATATATATATATATATATATATATATATATATATATATATATATATATATGTCTCTTCCCTCCTTCTGTATCCTCACACCAATAGAATACACATTTCGATCATATAGGATAGCCACAATGAAGACACAATTCTTCCTCCTTTCTCTCTTCCTCTTCTCCATCTTGCTTTGTGAAGTAATAGAGGCACAGGACACAAACGCGGTGCTTGATATCCGTGGGAAGATCCTCCGAGCTGGTGTCAAGTACTATGTTGTACCACTACTCCAGGACCAGGGTGGTGGGCTTGACCTAGCTTCCACGGGACATCGTCAGAGTTGCCCGAAAAGTGTGGTCCAGGATGATGTTTACTGGTGGGGCAACGCTATACAGTTTTACCCAGTTAATTCACAAAAAGGTGTGATTCGTGAATGGATTGACCTCAATATTGAATTTCCAGATGTATACACAGGATGCCCGGAGTCTAAGGTATGGACAATTAGTGGAGATCCCTCATCATATGATATTATGCATTACATAACAGATGGCGGCAAAAAAAGCAATCCTGGTCAACAAACTCTAAGCAACTGGTTCAAGATTGTTAAAACAACAAATGCCTATAAGTTTATGTTTTGTCCAAGTGTGTGTGATGACTGCTCATATGTGTGCCAAGATGTTGGCGTTTCCAAGAAAAGAGGACACAGACGTTTGGTTCTCAGTAATACCCCTCTGGAAATCAACTTTAGGAAGTCTTAAAGGTTATTTAATATAATGCAACTTTATTATTATATTATAGCAATAATAATGCAAATAGCAAAAAATAATCGCATATATATATATATATATATATATATATATATATATATATATATATATATATATATATATATATATATAGAGGAAGGTTCAAGTGCGGCAGTGCACTTAGGTGCGGCGGTGCAGTTAATTGTAGGCCATTATATTAGATAAATCCAACGAATCACATTCATCAAGGCTTTTCCGATATTTTCGCGCGCGTTCTCACAGTACGCGAGCTGCAAGGTTAAAGTCGTCATTGGGCACCAGAATATATCAAATCATAGTGTTGTGTGTTTTATGTTCATTATTGGTGCATTATTAACCTTACTGTGGTGTATTTGAGAATTCATGTTGGTGCCTTCCCGAGCGGTCAGTGCGACCGCACTAATAGTTATACAAATATACACCATCCATGTTAGAAAATGCACACAAAAAAAACATGCACAAATTCGATACGCATCACCAGAACGCACCACTAGGTATCACTAAAAGCATCACAGAGTGTTCAGAATACACCATTGGGGTGGTGAGTTATATGGGGTATTTTTTGGGTGTGTTGTGTGTTTTTTTGTGTATTTGTGCATTTCATTGTTGTGCTTTTTCCTAACACTATTGGTGTCTTTTGTTAACACTGTTGGTGTATACTGACAAGCAACCGATATAAATAACCACTATAATTACCATAATACCCTCCACTTACCAGGACGCGCTTAAATCTTTAAATCTTCAGAAATTAGCCGCTGCCGTTAGATTAAGCAGAATGGACGACGCTGATATGGCCGCACCGCCGCACCTAAAGCCACTGCCGCATATGAGCCTTATTCTATATATATATATATATATATATATATATATATATATATATATATATATATATATGCAGCTTTTAATCACTATGTAATTCCTCGCTCTTAGGGGATCGGGTCGGAGATCATGAAATAAAATAAAACTACTTTAATTTCTAGTGCATTCTGCATTTTTATTTCCTAGAAATGTAAATTACCAGAATATACTACAAGTTTTAGTAAATTCTTGTATGAAGCAAGATTTTTTCAAGAAGAAGAAATAACATATCGACAATTTTACTGCGATTATCTACTTCCAGCACCATATAATACTGAAATAACTAAGGTATATAGTCAATATGAACCAAAAGAAAATACTTTAGGAGAAAGAATTAGAGTATTAAGATCATATTTAAAGAGAAAATGCGAAAAATATAGAATACACCAAAAGATTAAAAAAGATAAGATAAATTGATAAAGAGAAATATGTGGATTTATAGAGAAAAGACTAATATTTGGATGTGATAGAGACTATAAAGACAGAAGAAGAAAAACAAAATATTCTAAAAAGTATAGGAAATATAGGAAAGATAGAAAAAATGAATCTTATTACAAGTCATATATAAACTTTGAAAAAGCACGTGGATCTTGAATGCAAAAATTAACCTAGGGTTCTAATTAATTTTATTTCAATTATAAAGCTAGACTAGTTCCAGTACTACTCCAGGTATAATAACGAACATAAAATAGAGAGTAATAAAGGAAAACGTGCATCAGGAAATGTTCACGCAGTTCCAAGCCTCACTCCTACGTCTGCGGGGCCACTCACATCAACCCAAATCCACTATGATAAACAGGAGTGCAAGAGGAGAGTTAATTACACACTAAAGTATAACCTATAACTACTCTAGAACCTACTCCAGCGGATTCGATGTGCAGGCGATCCTCGTTACTTCATGATCTTATTAAGAACCCTTCTCCACACTCAGCAATACAGAATATAACCAGTATAAGTAGATGAAGACTCTCAGAACAAGGGCTTGTAAAAGTGTTTAATCAAAATGCTAACCAAAGTAGCATTTTATATAGGTAATGAGAGGTTTCTTCGATCCACAAATCATGCATTCTTTCCTTTCTTGATTTCGGCTGCTCCAATTGATTTAGATCTCCTCCAAGATAGGGTCTTGACTAAATAAAAGAATTGAAGAGGTTTTTCATCTCCTGGATTACTTTCTTGCGCTGATCCAGTCAAATACTCCAGACGTTATGACTAATCCAGCAACTAATCGAGTAACTACTTTGCCAACTAATCCAAGCCAATATTAAGAGGTTAATGTGCAACATTTTTTACACTTACAATCTCCCCCTTTGGCTATTAGTTGACAAAACTACCAAAAAGATCTCAACGGCTTATAAAAACAAAAAAAAAAAAAATTGCCAGATGAGAAAATAAAGATAAAACTTTGACAAATTTGGATTAGTCACTAGTCAGGAGTAGATTGATGCACACCCTTCTTAAGAAGGAATAATGTATATATGCATAAGACTAGTTCTTTCCTGCTTTGTAGTAGCACTAGAATAGGTCCTGTATCTGTTCTAAGATTATGGTGAGTCTGTTGTATGCATGGCTATTTAAAGCCCCTAGACCTATTGGTTTAATATATAGTTCATTCCGTTTCTATATGGTATCCAGAGCCAAACTCTAATGAGATTATTTTTTTTTTCTTTTTCTTCTCTATCATGGCTTCTTCCTCAGACATTCAAATCATTCAAATCAATGCTCCCACCAACTTTCCTATAAGATTAACATCCTCCAACTTTCAAGTCTGGAGGCGACAAATTCAAGCCTCGTTCATTGGCTTGGGTTTGCTTGGCTATGTTGATGGCACAACTCAGGCCCCTCCTCAGTTCTCTGACACGGCTCAGAAGGAAGTCAACCTTGCCTACACCATTTGGTTTAGACAAGATCAAACCATCCTGAATGCTATTCTAGGGAGCTGCTCCAACACCATTCAACCGTTGATCTCGTCAGTAGTATCTTCGGCAATGGCATGGAACCGGTTAACATCCACCTATCCTAGTTCCTCGCCATCCCGCATTGTGTCACTCAAGACTAAACTGGCGTCCAATCCTCAAAACGGCCGCCCGATAGAAGAATATGTGGATGACATGTTCAGCATTGCAGAATCACTTGCCCTTGCTCAACATCCAA